CAGCAGCACCGAGGGTTTTCTATTATCGCGTTGAACTGTTCCTAGCTTGCAAACACTGGAAAGTGTGTTATATCGACAGAGCAGAGATGAAAACGCTTCCATCTTTGGGCCATTCCGTGCGTTTCAGCAGTCAAATATAAACTGCTATCCAACAAACGTCGGTGTGGCTATCTCGGTCAATTGAAAAACGAAGACGACGACTAGGTGTCACCGACTCACCAGTATATACTTCGTGCTTAGATAAGCAACGCTGGCAGAGCTTTCATTGAGTAGCTGTGCCAGTTGTCGCTGGGAGTGTATAATATTTTATTAGTTTACTATAACTTTGGTTATGACTCCTCAGAGGCCAATTTTGGTTTTATTTCAAGTTATTGAAATTCATGTCTTCATGCGATCTCTCCTAGCTTCTCGTTCGACTCTCCATACAGGTGTCCGTGCGTGTGAGTAGTGCGCTGCTTGAAGTTTAGCCGTACCGGACCGGCCTCGGCTCCTTCGATCACACAGAGGTAAAAATGTTCTTATTCGTTGCCTTCCAGTTGCCCCGATCCAACTATTGCTATTTGGATTACGTCAACTATGGTCCTAATTTTGGAGGTCTTAGTGGAAGGACACCGATGCGCTTGAAGGTACGTTTCGTTGGGATCAAAATCGACACTGATGCGACGAATTTGCTCAGTGCTCGGTTCCTGACTATAGGGCAGCTAGGTGTGGCAGGCAGGAGTGGTAACGGTGGCGGGGAATGGTGAGCGTCTGAGGCATACTAGGTCTTTTTAGCCCTGACTGCCTAGTGCCAATGTCCTCAGTCGGCTGGACCAGTGGCGGCCTTAGGCTCTGCTATGTCAGTTTTTTGCTTCGAATGCTACTAATGCTGCTGCCGCTTTCTCCGTCCACCACAGCTACTACGGGCCACAGCTACCTCCTCTATACCTACATCACCCTATAAATGCGGCTATCGAGAGCTGTGGAACAAAATAGGTACGACAGGCTCTGTCCTTAGTCCTACCGCTGGTAAAACTCGAGGTAGTGACGCAGCTTTCTTTTCGCTTCCTCAAATGGAGTAAATCTACATAATTGGATAAACCAACCAGCCAACTAGCTACTACCTCAGTTGCCGTACAACTGTACTATCCACTACTGCCGCTGACGCAGTTAGTAATAGCACATGATAGCAGGCAGAACGGAGTTCGTACAGCTCCTCGCATCCTTCCTATCACCACCCGTCCATCCATCCATCCATCCATCCATGTTGTGTTACTGTTTGGCTAGTGACCTACCGAGAAAGAGCGTCCCTTCGTTTCTTTACCCTGCATCGTCATTGCCTTGCTCTTGTCTTGTGAGAGTGAGACAGAGACCTTGCCCAGCTTTTTGCCCAGTCGACGTATATACTACCTGCATGTGGGTCGAAGGCAGTGTTGGCACAGGACGAACGCCATATAGTCAATACAGCAGCCCACAAATCGTAGGGTATTCCTGTTACACTATTCAGTTGACTTCCCGATAACTATTAGCACTAGTATTACCACTATGATAATATCAATAATGCCACTTGGCTCAACAGGGTGCATGATATTGTACGGATAAACGCATTTTACAGCAGAACTGGGGTCATCTTTAAAAGCCCTCCATTCAGCATTTATCTGCTCATTCATTACATTTAACTGCTTCAATGGCTAATCATAGGGCAATTTCGCCGAGAAAAAGTTGCTATTTCAATCTGAAAATCGATATTAAATACGTACAGTTTTAGTTTTGCTTTTTATAATGTACTTTATTCACTCATAAATTCGGATCTTCGTTGTACCATTGCCAGAAGGGCGCTCAATGTTAGCAGTCGGTAAAACGAAGTAGTTCCAGTTGGATGGATGAATGGATGTCTACTCGAGGGCTACTAGCGCTTGGTCCCTTGAAGAGGTCTCGGACGAACGAGAGAGTTCATTTGGCTTAAGTCAGCATTGTCTGCCACCCTCTTCGTCACTCGCTAACTAATTCAACAACATTTCTTACCGACCGAAACTATTCATTGACGCTGACAACCTGATGAACCAATTGTGATCGGACCGTCCTGTTCTGCTAGAGGTGTGGACTTGAAGTGTCGGCAGCCGCTGTGCACCCGAAAGGAGAGAGACAACGGCGACGACAACGACCAATAGATAGAATAGTACTACCCCCCGCCCCGCCCCGCCCCCGCCCCTAGAAAGTAGCAACCCTAGAAGTGGTAACTGCTACAATACTTACCAGCCAAGCCCCAGTTCCTAAAACCAACGAAGCCAATGCCAGTTTCAGTCTACCGTCGTGTTCACCTCAAGCATCCCCTTAACTAAGGAAGGCTTCGACTGTTTGTTATCTCTGGACCTCGTGATGACCACAAAGGCAGCTTTGTGAGCTCAGAAACTATTTTTGCCTTGACCCTTAAGACAAATCGGGTCTTTTGTAATGCTTATCTTAATAAGCAGAATCTTCTTATGAGTCGGTCACAGAAGTTTCAATAAGTCGTACAATAAATGGCCCTCCAGCCCGGTGCGTACTAGGCTAGCAATTGGTGTTCAACGATTTGTGACACTTAAGACTCATTGATTCAAGTGCTACAAGCCCATCTCTCACTCCTACTGAACCCGAACAGGTAAAGCGGGTCGCCGAGTTGCTAGAACCAATGCTTTCTTCTAAATTCACGTATATAGTCATTGCCGCCTATTATGTCCTTACTTTATCGAACTAGATTAAATACCTAATAAACCTAAATTTATTGGCTGAGCATTAGGGTGTGATGTGAATATTCGTTTCCCAATGTAGGAACTCAGTTGCCATCTTGAATGCTACTGGCTTCCGTAACGACAGAGAACAGGGGACATTCAAATATCTGCTACCGCTGCGAGATAAGTAATCCGAATCATTTCGACCCAATGGCTGTTGACATCAAGCAGCTTCTTCGGCTGATCCAGCTCAGATATTATTAAAATAGATTTTCGACGCTACCGCTTTAACGACGCGGGCAGCAGTTGAAGTGACTTTGTAGCTGCGAAAAAAGTAGGTGACGTGACCGCATGATAGGGTCACGGGTCGGACACGACGGAACAACAAAATGCTGACACCGCTGCTGCCCGCTGGGTCGGCGACAGTGGCGGCATCGCCTCGGTACTCGTCTCCGGCTTCTGTAATCTTCGTCTGGCACAAGCATGCCAATACGACGACAACAAATAGGAAAGTCGATGCCGATTAGCTAGCTACAATATCCCACAGAAATGCGCGTTCCATCACAACCAGTTTATTAACGATTTTGTATTGTGATAGAATGAAGAAGCAAAATTGGCCCAATTCGTTTCGCCTTCAGACCCGGGTTTACTATTAGCGTTTCCGTTGTAAACGAAACGAATAATAGATTGTAAATGTTTTACAATTATTTGCTTAAATATTAATATCGATTTATGACTGAACAAATCGTACAATTAACGTCACCTATGTTGACCTAATATTGATCCCTTTTGAGAACGCTTAGACGATGGCCTGCTATGGTTCCAAGCCTATTCACTAGACACAGCAGTACTCTCTTGTTCGGGGATATTGGGTTTTGGTCGTAGATCAAACCCAACATTACTGGTCTACCTAGTATAATATGTGCATCTAACAATGTTGCTTGTTCATCTGAAATCACTTATAGACAAAGGTTTCTGTTGGAATATCTGCATAAAGATATTAGTTTAGAAGCGAAGGTGTCTTAGTTATCAGGCTAGAACAACGAGCTGTCTTCTGTTTAGATAAATGCAGATAGCGATGACTTTACAGAATAACAAGATATAACAGTGGCGACGGGGCGGAGCAACGATTAAGTCCTGAAGCTTCTGCGCGAGTTATGCAGGCTGTTCTTAAAGCGGGTCATCCTGCAGATGAACCAGGACTGGCAAGTCGTATCGACATAACAACCGCACCAACTTAACGGTATCTGTTTGCTAACAGCGAGAAGTTTCGCTAAAAGGAAAGAAGTCCAGAGTCTCGTTAGACCGAACGGTAGCGTCGTCACGATTATCAGTGTTTAGAAATGATCAGGCTGTGACGAGCACTCTAGTCAGCTGGCTTTCTACTTTCTCTTATTAGCCAGAGATGAAGGATCAGTATTCGATGCCTAGCATCAGCGTTTGTGAGACTTTCACGATAACGATTAACAAATTTAAAAACTCCCAATCTAAAGTAAGATTAGTACTTTTAAACAAGACGGTGTGACTTTACTGATTATAGTGTTCCGCAAAAGACGTCAGAGTTTGATTATCAACAAACAAGGGATTCAAACACTGAATGATGAACATTGTCTTTCTTCACACGTTGATCCAACTATCTCACGTGTAGATGTGACGAAGATCAAAACACTACATTTGATAATTTTACCGTGCTAGCAAAGCCTAGATATGACATGGTCGAAATGATATAGAGCACGGCCAATTGAAAAATTCTTCTTTCGTAGACGTGCTCCGACCAAACCTGAATGCGCTGAGGCACGAACGCTTGAGCGAGAATGTTTTCAAGAAGACTCTGACATGGCTATTGAAGATCTACATTCTGCTATAAAAAAGTTGGCATTACTTAAAACTGCTTCAAAAGGCATAGGAAAGCCTTTCTCAGGATCCGATGTCGTTTTTTCCCAAGGAATAAGTTTAGGAGAAAAAAGCTATCAGATAGGAAAAAAGAAAACCTCGCAGTTTGAACGGCGAAACAGACAGCCTTTCGGAAATACAGGCAATTGCTTTTCAAATTCTCAAGCCCGCTTTTGTGTATCAACACGAAGTACCTGCAGAGAACGCAATAGAGGGCACTAGAAGTTGACTACAGAAGGCACTCAAAATGTGTTGATAGTCAAAGAGTTTTAAATACAAGCCTAAAGATTTATAATGAAAGTTAGAGATCTTATTTAGAAGGACCGTGAAGCCAGCATCAGGACTGGATTGGATTCGACCATTACAAATGGATAGACATACAACGGTTTTGCCTACACAAAATAAATACCCACTTACCTTATTTACGTGCAGCGAATGGCACAACCATGACATGTTGGAATAGTTTTACCTGTATGTTTAATTACTGAACAGTGCCACATACAGGTGAGTTTTCAGCAGTTCAGAAGGCTATCCAGTCGGATAGCAAAGGATGTCAATAGCTGAACTTAAACGCTACTGGATATAGTGTTTTGCAAGCAAACAATAATAATACGTTATACGAACAGTCACTAAAGGCAATATTGAAAAACTACGACAGGATATTCCATTTTGTTGTCATGCCTAGACTTGGGAATGTCTAAAGTTTCGGGGGGATTCAAGTGAAAGTTTCTTAATGATCCTTCAACTTTCCCAGCTCCCGTCGAGCGCCCAGGAAAAAGAAAAGGTCCGAAGACTAAAACACAGACTTTTCAATCGAAGTATGGGGCGCCTGACAGGATTATAACTATCCGTAAAAGAAGTCTGTACAGCAGGGAAACGTTTCAGTCAAACCGACATTAAAAAGAACGATCCAAAAGATTATCTGGTAACTGGTAACCGTTCCAAAAAGGTTTATCCTTTGGCATAAGGTGTCTTCAGCCATTTTTCAATAATCTCACCCTAGCTTTTATAGATAAAGACTGGCGTATACTTTAGGCGATACTATAGTTGTGGGGAGATTGTCAAAGATCATAATGATCGCTTGCAAGTACATCAGATATCTAGGTATCGTTACTGATGAAGCAGAGCGGAGACCTTGGCCTGATAAAGTACCTGTAATCGTTGAAAGGCAAAAAATGTCGGCACAGTCAGATTATTTCTTGGTATAATTTTATATGAAATGGTTTTTACTCAGGACGTGTGCAAGCTCCGAAAACCGTTTAACGAGCCGTCACAAAAAATATCCTTTTATTATTCCAATTAATCTACGTGATAGTAATTTTCACTAAATTAAAAGGGAGATAATTTTCAGATTTTACTCTCTTTACCTGTTACAGTAAGCGCTAGTAAGCATGTCCTCGGCGTTGTCATACTACATCATCGCTTCTAAGAAGGATCTGAGCTAGTTCTTATTCATGCAGATCACTTAACTCTGTTCGGGTCTGATACTTTCAGATAGAAAAGGAAGCGTCAACAATTATTTTTGCAGTGATAAAATTCCTAAAATGTCTACTTAACAGGTCATTGTGTTAATTCTTGGTTCAGTATCGATATAGCAGGCTATATAGGATATAGAGCAGGCTATACTGCTTGTAGCTTGTAAAGATGGCCCGCTATTCTACCTGCGTACAGCTTCAAAACTGAAAATCAATTAAGAAGACAATTCATTGATTTTGATTAAATAGTGAAGCAATGTGAAGACACACTATTGTAAAACGACACGAAAGATGTCGGAAGACGGAAGACAGAAGATGTATGGAACGAAGTTGTAACATATCATCGAAATGTTTCGGTTCTCCTCGTACACGACTATACCTAAGGACGTTGTTGAGCTGACGATATAAACAATGATTGTATACCGATGTATTGGTCGGAAAGGTAACACTCTACGTCAGCATCGGAACGGGCGCTCGGAAGTAATGTAGTTTACCAATGTTCCGCGTCGAGATTCTAGAGAACATCCAGGTATCGTGAGGATGAAACAACTAGCTCGCTTGTATTTGTATTGCCCTGATCCTAATAATGATCTAGAACTGTGCTACAGATGTGCTACGCTTTGGAGACAATGCCAAACAAGAACTGAGTTATGGTTTAAGCCTAAGAAATTCTGGAGCCGTATAAGTATCGATTTTGCCGGCCTTCCTAATAGATCGACTACCTACCATTTGCTAATTCTGTAAACATTTTTCAACTAGTCCAAAGTGATCAACGAGACAATAACATCAGCTTCGATAGAATATGGTATTCAAAGACATCTGTCTCTGATAACGGTGCGTATCTCACACGTATATGTAAGTTCGAAGATTTCTGTCTATTCAGTGAAATCCACCGCGTCCACTTCATCGTCAAAATAAAACTCAGTTTGAAAGGTTTATTGATACTTTTGAAAGAGGATCTATGAGTTAGAAGAAGATACCCCGTCTATTATCCAGAAACTTCTAATTTCACATCTGAACGGCCAATCTCCAGCAGGACACTGGGACGAAAAATTCAGACCGTACTTAACTTTCTAAAACAACACCATCATCATCATCATCAACCGTCTGCCCTCGGTTATCGTGATATATCAGTAGAGACTCACAGTTCCCAAGGAGCGCAAAGATAAATGTCAGAAAGTGTTTGTGTAGAAGATTGTTGGTGCTCTTAAATAAGGGACAAGCGCAAACTTCCCCAAAAAGAACCGCTGCGAATTATATCGAAATACGAAATCAGAAATAGACCCATTCTGTCGACCAGTCCAAGCAGCGAAAACAACGGTACAACTACAGTTCCATTGGATACGTTCGGTGTTTTAGTCAAACAAATGTACGGAGTGACAAACGCAGGGTGGCAAATCAGCAATGAGAGTAAAGAATTATTACCAACTACATTGCTACAGGCTAGATCGTTAGTTAATCACCGCGATGATCAGGCACAGCACCAGGTGTTGGACTATCGATAAATATTCTAATTTATTTCAATTGGAATAGCGACGTGTCTTCTGCTTAGATAAACGTAAACATAACTGTCTTCAGAATTGCCTGATATACTTTTTTTTTTTCTATATATTCAGGAGTTGTTAGAATCATCATCGAATACCTCAGACAACTTTTAAAACTCGACCAGAAAAAAAAAGGTAACGAAGGTTAAATTGGTAGGTTGTTTGCAAAGAGCTAGAGCAGACATCAGTTCGAGGCACTTAATCGTAAGCGTAGCTAGATTCATGTGTGTGTATATATGAATAGTCATTATAGAAACTAATGCCCTTCTAAATTTCAAAGGGCAGCGCGATGGCCTAATAATGGTCGTCGTTCTTGACAGCCAATGAGAAATTTCTAACGCTTCAATCGACGATTCGTAAAAGCATTTTACGAGACCCATAGGACATTTGTCAACGATTATTTCAGAAATTGTAGATTCTTTCCTGCCATCAAACGTTTCGTGCAAGACCAAATGGCTGAGATACTAAAGGCGAACATGTCGCTGACGTGTCGTTGCTAATATCGATACTGTTTTAGTCGTTCATTAAATAATGATACCCTAGTCGTTCGACGAGTTTCGTCGTCAGCTTCCCGTTCGACGACAGGCTTCTGTACCGCTATACCGTAGCGCTTCACGGACGTCTCCAGACAAAATAACTATAGTGAGCCCGAATTAGGACAATGTAGGTCGCTGCTTGCTGGTAAACAAACGTGTCCCAAAACGAAGCCGCGTTGAACCTCGGTGTCATGTGCTTAATACCTAGAATGTGCTCTTGTACATTTTCCGCCTGGAAGCTTTCATGCTAAATAAAATTTTCCTAGTTGGGTCAGTGCAAAGGCATGACAACCGTATCAATACGGCCATGCTAAATAAAAGATCGATGCTGATCAGATAGACGATTTAGTGCATTTGTAGATTATCTGGTCTTCTTCCTTCTCGTTACGACGCTATACTATACCCTTGTCCCTATCGTGACAGACCTAAGACATAAACAAGGGTCAGTAAACAGCAGATCCACAGCTGTTCGCGTTCATTACTACAGTCTTTATCTGAATGTTCATTCATAGGCATTCACTCGACGAGTATCTCCTTTTTATATAATGCTACACGCGCGTATGTTCAGGTTTCAACATGGTGTTCGAAATACGACGGGACCAGCTTTGGTGGATACATGTATACTCGCTATTTTTTAGTGTTAGAAGAACACCAGTTAATTGTAAAGTATAACTACAGGCTCGTTTTGGCAAAACAAAAGTTTAACATAAGCAACATTAGCTAAGAACATAAGCAAAAATTAGCTAGTGCCCGATTTATTCCGTAGGTAAACCGTTATACGCTACATGTAGGAAATTTCCTCTAAGACTGTCTTTATCTAACAGCAGCTTAACAACAAGCGACAACAATGTTGCTTGTGTGTATTCGAAGCACCCGCTTCAACGGTATACCCGTATCGAAGGCTCTCCTGTCGCAGACATATGGTAGTCTACGTTAAAGGCGTAGGGCAATTACGACCACACGTTCACTAGACAAAACGCATAAAAGATCCGCCGTCCTACGTCTAAACACACGAATAAATACGGGGTTACAGATACATCGACAATGTTATTCAACGAATGAAGTTACACGAAATCAGTCGTTTGTTTAACAATTTGACAAAGATAATGTTATCATTAGTATAGTTCCTCGAGGTATGTTATTGATGCGTGACAACGCTTCAAATATGGTGTCGGTGAACTTATGGTGAGAGCGAAACAACTCCAAACGATGTGCTGCTTCAAGATAAAAACCTTTCTGGGCGAGTCGCTTGAACCAACGTAGCTAGCTGAAGGTAACCTAGGTATATATTTAAAAAAATTCTGGTGGAACAGCCTCCATTGCGACAATGTTTAAAGCAAACGATGTTTCCCGGTATTTCCTTTGTGAGTTTTCGGTGCACTTAGACTAAGAGTTCGTGCCCTGCAAGTGCCCACCTATGTTATGATAAGCAGTATTAAAAATGTACCGTTCGTATTTGCCACCAACCGTGTGGCTAGGGGGTAAAACAACTATTGCCAATGAGCCCAGAACCTGATTGAACACATGCATTTTTCTCTAGTTGTTCTTGATTATAAGGTCTGCCTAGGGTAAATGAATTAGAACAATAACAAGTAGCCGCGAGATGATTTCGTCTGTTTGTGCTATAGTGGTCATTCGTACTGAGTTGGCTATAAGTGTAGGGGCCGCCTCACCGCTAACAGGGAGCACCGACAGGAACATTAACACCAACATCATCACAACACATCTGATCTGATCGTTTTCTGAGACTATCGTTGTTCCGGGCCGCTGTTGTCGCTAATGTCGTTGTCTAAAGATGCTATCAAGGTAATGTTTGTTCGTTCGTTGCTAATTACTAAACAGGAACAGCAGTATACTGTTACCTCATTAGAAGTGCGGCTTCGTGCTCAGCTCAGAAAATCCAAATGAATACTAACCAATATCACTTTTTGACGCTGCTTACATTACTGCCTTTGTCTATGCCAGCATTCGAGGTTCAAAGCCGGAAGACGGCTGTGGTTAACTACCTTAATTAATTACGATGGCGGTACTAAGCCCAGAATCAGTCAACTTGCATTGAGATCGCACGCCAAACGAGACGGATTCGTTACGCTTTTGATTTAAAAAAAAAACCGAAAGGCCGGTACGATTATAATCTAGAATATAGCAGACGCCTATTCGTTGATATTTCACCTCTATCACGATTAACAAAGGAGACAAACATTTTCGAGTTTTTCCCGCCGTAGGTTCGTTCAGTGAAGTTACCATCTGTCGGTTAGACATACGCCTCGTCATAAATCAACGCGGATATTTTACCTGGTGCTTAAGAAGACTTCTAGCGAATTAGCGGCAGATTATCTATTTTTTATGAAACTTTCTTTATTATTTGAAGGTATCACAGACACAATTTACAATTGATCTGAGCAAACATGCAGTTCGACGTAAAATAGAAATAAATCCTATTTTAAATGTAGTTGTCCATAGAAAATGTCCACGGGGGTACAATGTACATCGCCGCTACTCGGTACATCGGCAAACATTCAAATGTGGAAATCCTTACCTGGTTTTTTAATGTAGGAATTGTCAGGACGTAATTTCGCTGGACAGAATCGTCTGTCCACTGTCTTGGCATCCCCATCATCCCCCCCTCCCCTATTCTTTTCTGACCGAATACGCCGACGATGCACTATCTCTCTTCAATGGCGCTCGTGAGCTATATACGCTATATGCACAGACGATCGGCACCATACAGGAGACATGAACACAGAAACACCCCTCATTGGTATGCTACAACAGGCCGCTCGCCCTGCAACTCAAAGGGACCAGCGGAATCGACGGTGTTCAAGATGTTCAATGACACCGAACCCCTTCCCCAGCCTCATGCGGTCCATTCCCTCGCTCCTTTCGAAGTGACGAAGCCCTGACGCGCTGAACAGCCGTCTTGAAATCGTCATCAGGAAACGACCGGCCTCGTCCGGGATCACTGGCTTCATCCTCCGATCTGAAGTAAACTGTGACTATACCTCTGGCAGATGACGATCATAAGCTGCATCTTGATCCGTCCGCGTGCGAGTCGTGGAGAAAAAGTTTGGTCCCGACCGCCCGTAAGTCATCCGGTCAAGTGTATTATTCTTTTTGTTGAAGGATATAGGCGCAGATGTAAACACCACCCTGTCGCGAGCTAGGGGTATATTTGTGAGCTTGAGAAGAACAACTGCTGACGACTATAATGAATTCTTCATAAACGGGGGGAAACCAAATGCTTTCAAGAAATGGTGACATGATTAAGTGTTTGTGCAGATTTAAAATAGTGTAGGCG